GGACTCATTTCTGTATGTAAGTCCTTATCTATTCCCTCCTGTCATCTGAAATGCCCTCCCCGCTTATATTTCCTTTCTATATCCTATTTATTCTTTAGGCCAGTCTTAGATTTTACATTTCCCTTGATGTAGGAGCTTTCTTATTTTGATTCCCCTGGACTTTAACACTTACTTGTCATTTAGTTGGTTATCAGTTCAGTTCAGTCGCTCAGTTGTGTCCGACTCCTTGTGACCCCATGGACTGCAGCACGCCAGGCCTCCCTGTCCATCACCAACTCCCGGAGTTTACTCAAACTCATGCCCATCGAGTCAGTGATGCCATCCAGCCATCTCATCCTCTGTCGTCCCCTTCTCCTCCTGCCCCCAATCCCTCCCAGCATCAGGGTCTTTTCCAATGAGTCAACTCTTGGAATGAGGTTATACTCCCTTGCATAATTTAACCATGTTATCTGGGTGTGACTAATTCCATTTTATCTTTTAAGTCAGTTTAAAAGTCACCTCAGAGAGACTTCAGTTCAGTTCAGTTCAGTTCAGTTGATCAGTCATGTCGGACTCTTTGCGACCCCATGAATCGAAGCATGCCAGGCCTCCCTGTCCATCACCAACTCCTGGAGTTTACTCAAACTCATGCCCATCGAGTCGGTGATGCCATCCAGCCATCTCATCCTCTGTCGTCCCCTTCTCCTGCCCCCAATCCTCCCAGCATCAGGGTCTTTTCCAATGAGTCAACTCTTCGCATAAGGTGGCCAAAGTACTGGAGTTTCAGCTTCAGCATCAGTCCTTCCAGTGAACACCCAGGACTGATCTCCTTTAGGATGGACTGGTTGGATCTCCTTGCAGTCCAAGGGACTCTCAAGAGCCTTCTCCAACACCACAGTTCAAAAGTATCAATTTTTTGGCGCTCAGCTTTCTTCACAGTCCAACTCTCACATCCATACATGACCACTGGAAAAACCATAGCCTTGACTAGACAGACCTTTGTTTTGCTTTACCCTAAATAAAATAGTCCATTCCCCACAGTGTTTCTTTTTCAACTTTTCCTTTATTTCCTTTATGTAGAATTTACCACAACTGCCATTGTTTTGTTTGCGTGCTCTCCTACTAAAATATAACTACCTAAAGGTAGGAACTCTTGTCTGTCATGTTCACTGTTGTATCTATAGTACATAGAACAATAGTGTCTGATACTTAGGGGGTTCTTTAACAAATGCTTTTCAGTTGAATTATTCTGTAAATAAATTGTTAAGTAGTTGAGGGTCAGGGCCTATATTCTATGGCCAAATTCTCTGCTGTGCCCACACAGTAGACCCGTAAGTTGGGAATGTTAATTTTTCATAAAGGAGAAGGGGATAAGCCTGAAGAAAGTTGAGGCAATTTTTCTGAAACCAGATGCCAAGATTCTTCTACTGTAGAGGGGATAGCAGCAGTGAATGCTGGAAATACATCTTTGGTAAACCTGCTCCAGGCCCAACTGTCCCTCCCATAGGTGGGAACTTTTCAGAACATTCTCCTCAGCTTTAGCCACTAAGAAATTCCCACGCAGTCATATCTCCCCATATATTTTCCTTGTCTATAGGGCACTTGAGGCTGAGAGAGTATTAACAGGCAGAACTGAAAAGTAGAAGGGTGAAGTAATGAAAGATACATGGTTGCCAAAAGTTTATTTTTCTGGGTTCAATGTTTTTCTTAAGGTGATTCCTGGAATACTAGCAAAGGTTGCTTGTGGTAGCAAAGTAGATAAGGATGGGGTAGGTGTGAGGCTGCTGTTTACCTTGTTACACAGATTTTTATTTTTATTTTTTTGGCTGCCTCAGGTGACTTGTGGAATCCTAGTCCCTTGACCAGGGACTAAACCCAGACCAGCGGCAGTGAAAGTGCTTAGCCACAGGGCCATTAGAGAACACCTCAGATTTAGTTTTGATTCGTATGATTATTGCGGGTTCGAAATCAAAATACATTCAAAATGTTACTTTGTCTGCATATTGCTAAGCATATCGCTCTCTTTCAGAAGTCATTAGATTACAAATTCTGTGCATATTTACTGTTTTACTAAAATTCCATTTTAAGTTGTTAAAAGGTCATTGGAGGGAATTCCCTGGCGGTCCAGCGGTTGGGACTTTGTGCTGACTCTGCAGGGGCCCGGGGTTTGACCCCTGGTCCGGTAGCTAGGATCCCATAAGCCGCACAGCCGCAAAGAAGAAAGGAGTCATTGGAGATCAGACTCTGGGAGCTGATCTCTTCTAATCATACCCGAAAGAGCACTTTATAAACCAGATTACTTGTTCATTAGCTCAGACCAGGATACTTGTATGGCTTCTCAGGCCATTCATTTCTAGTAGGGAAGCTTACCCAGAGAACCAGTGAAGATTAGAACATTGTTTGATTAGTGAAAATTCGTATCAGAGGGAACTGGATCATCTCAATTATGTGCTTCGTGTACCTTTTTTCACTACAGGGATATACTTGCCAGGCATTGTAGTTAGATGAGCCTTCCTTATTACCTTCTCTGATCCATGCGGGAATATACTCACAGGTTCTTAAACTTTCTGATGACCATTTTCCTTCTTTATGGAATCCATGAATGGGTTAGATCAGATGATGTCTGAGATTAGATTTAGTCCTTGACAAGGACAAAATTTCTAAGAATTTGATCAGTTTGATTAATTTTGTTCTTATTCCTGAATAAACTGACATTCTTTTGTACAACTAAGTCCCTTGTCGTTTTGATTAGTGTGAATCAGTTCAGCTAATCACTTGAAAAGTCATCAAAATCTTCGAAATAGCTTTACTAACTACAGAAATTTAGTCTAAATAGCTAAGTCATGTCCAACTCTTGTGACCCCATTGACTGGCCTGCCAGGCTCCTCTGTCTATGGGATTCTCCCAGCAAGAGTACTGGAGTGGGTTGCCATTTCCTACTCCAGGAGATCTTCCCAATCCAGGGATCGAACCCAGGTCTTCTGAATTGTAGGCTGATTCTTTAACCAACGGAGCTACAAAAGCCCAACTACATAAATTACTTTCATTTAACTATTTCATAGTTTCTGATTAAAGTGAAATAGAGTTTAAGATTTCTGTCCAGTACCTAAGAAAGAATTGCTGAAGCTAAACTGTGCAGGGAATATAATCTCAGAGGTATATTCTGGGCTTAGAAGTAATCTTAATATCTGTCATTTTAGTCTAAACCTGTCATAAAGCTGACCTTTGTACATCAGCATTTAGTTAAGCAAGAATTGCATGAGTGTGTTCACCTATGAATTTTCCCTTGGCAATTATGCTACTGTGTTAGAGGGCAGAGGTTTTATTGTGCTGCTTGACTTTCTAAATATTAGGTCATTATAATCTTTGTGACACTTTTTCAGTGATATCAGTTACTATAGTTTTTTCCATGTTTCGTGCTGGTACAGCTGAGAACAGGCTAGGTCATCCAATTGGAACATTGCTTTTTTTTTTTTTTATCACTGTTTACATAATTCTTTTTTTTTTCCATTTATTTTTATTCATTGGAGGCTAATTACTTTACAATATTGTAGTGGTTTTTGCCATACATTGACATGAATCAGCCATGGATTTACATGTGTTCCCCATCCCGATCCCCCCTCCCACCTCCCTCCCCATCCCATCCCTCTGGGTCTTCCCAGTGCACCAGCCCTGAGCACCCGTCTCATGCATCCAACCTGGGCTGGTGGTCTGTTTCACCCTTGATAGTATACTTGTTTCAATGCTGTTCTCTCAGAACGTCCCACCTCGCCTTTTCCCACAGAGTCTAAAAGTCTGTTCTGTACATCTGTGTCTCTTTTTCTGTTTTGCATATTGGGTTATTGTTGCCATCTTTTTAAATTCCATATATATGCGTTAGTATAATGTATTGGTCTTTATCTTTCTGGCTTACTTCACTCTGTATGATGGGCTCCAGTTTCATCCATCTCATTAGAACTGATTCAAATGAATTCTTTTTAATAGCTGAGTAATATTCCATTGTGTATATGTACCACAGCTTCCTTATCCATTCATCTGCTGATGGGCATCTAGGTTGCTTCCATGTCCTGGCTATTGTAAACAGTGCTGCAATGAACATTGGGGTGCACATGTCTCTTTCAGATCTGGTTTCCTCGGTGTGTATGCCCAGAAGTGGGATTGCTGGGTCATATGGCAGTTCTATTTCCAGTTTTTTAAGAAATCTCCACACTGTTTTCCATAGTGGCTGTACTAGTTTGCATTCCCACCAACAGTGTAAGAGGGTTCCCTTTTCTCCACACCCTCTCCAGCATTTATTGCTTGTAGACTTTTGGATAGCAGCCTTTCTTTTTTTTTTTTTTTTTACATTTTATTTATTTATTTATTTATTTATTTTTCACAACCATAGTGTATCTTTTTTTTTTTTTTTTTACATGTATTCCCCATCCCGGTCCCCCCTCCCACCTCCCTCTCCACCCAATCCCTCTGGGTCTTCCCAGTGCACCAGGCCCGAGCACTTGTCTCATGCACCCAACCTGGGCTGGTGAATCACAGCCTTTCTGACTGGCGTGTAATGGTACCTCACTGAGGTTTTGATTTGCATTTCTCTGATAATGAGTGATGTTGAGCATCTTTCCATGTGTTTGTTAGCCATCTGGATGTCTTCTTTGGAGAAATGTCTGTTTAGATCTTTGGCCCATTTTTTGATTGGGTCATTTATTTTTTCTGGAATTGAGCTGCAGGAGTTGCTTGTATATTTTTGAGATGAATCCTTTGTCTGTTGCTTCATTTGCTATTATTTTCTCCCATTCTGAAGGCTGTCTTTTCACCTTGCTTATAGTTTCCTTTGTTGCGCAAAAGCTTTCAAGTTTCATTAGGTCCCATTTGTTTTTTCATAATTCTTAATGGGTCTGAATGTAGGAAATCTTTCCCTATACCTGTCACCTTGACAACTTTTATAAAGTGTGATGAATGTGCAGTGTGATTTCTTTAAATTTTCCGTTCTCAACAGTCAGTCTTACTGTTTCTCTTCCAGTACAGTCATGTTTGAAATTAAGAAGATCTGCTGCATCGGTGCAGGCTACGTTGGTGGACCCACGTGTAGTGTGATTGCTCACATGTGCCCTGAAATCAGGGTGACGGTTGTTGATATCAATGAATCAAGAATCAATGCATGGAACTCTCCTGCACTTCCTATTTATGAGGTAAACCATATTAAACAATGCATTGTTCTTATGCTCTTTGCTTTCTTACTTTTTTTGCTAATCTAATTTGCTGTAAAATTCTATGACTGTAACTGATAGAAATAAAATGGAAAAGTCTAAGTACATATTATGAACATTATAATTTTGTCAGATATGCTCAGGGAAAATGTGTAGAAAAAAGTATACTGAATATTAATAATTGTTGTATTAGTGGAGTGAGATGATGAGTAATTTTCTTCTCTATTTTCTAATTTTGTCTGTTAGTATGGCTACCATATTATAATAGTGCAATTAAAAAGTGGCATTCTGTAAAAATAAAAATAAAAAAACTGGTTGTTTGTAATATTGACTCATGTAAGCCTATTATATTTTTGAATTATTGTATTTATATCAGATAAACCTTGAATGAAGAAATGGTGTCTTTCATGTTCAGTGTTCACTATCACAAATTTGTTTAAATTGGAACTTCAATATTTCTTTAATTTAGAGAACTCACAGTTAGGAAACTGTGTGTCTATTTTATTAAGTAAGGTTTTCATTTTAAAAAGTTTTCATAGTAAAGAGTTCATATTATCCTTTTGAAACCCAACAGAGAAGCATTTGAAAATTTTGAGGATAGCATTTTTCTCCATATATTCTTTTTTTTTTTTCCAGAAAAGTTTTGTTATTTATAAGACTCTTATCAACTGTATTCTTTAAGCAGTCTTTAGAAGGGGAATCTCTGTAAGATAAATCTGCCTGCTCTTTATAGGTCTATGAATAGAAATCCATGATTTGTTAATATCTAAGTCAGACTTAGAATTTTTTTAAAAGCCCTCTGTGTATGTGGTAGCTTCTCTTTGTGCTTTACCCTTTCTTCCTCTACCAGATGAACTTCCCATAATACTTCTTTAAATACCTCAGTGTGATAGCATTTCTTTCCCTGGTATATAACAGTGCTACTATTTTGGTTTGCGGGAATTTTTAAAAGCATTTTGGAAAGATAACTTAATTAAAAGTTTAATAATTCTGATATCCATTAAAGGGCTGGAAGTCATCTGAAATCTTGTGAACCATATCTATATCCAGTCATTCAGTTGATTACTGAATTGATTGTTACATAATTATTATGCCAGCATAATTTTTCAAAAACAAAGTGTAACAGAATGGCTAAAACTATGACTGCCGACAATGCCAAGTGTTGACAAGGATTTAGGGCAGTTGGAATTTTATGCACTGCTGTTGTTTAGTTGCTGCTTCTGCTGCTGCTGCTAAGTCGCTTCTGTCGTGTCCGACTCTGTGCGACCCCATAGATGGCAGCTCACCAGGCTCCGCCATCCCTGGGATTCTCCAGGCAAGAACACTGGAGTGGGTTGCCATTTCCTTCTCCAATGCATGAAAGTGAAAAGTGAAAGTGAAGTCGCTCAGTTGTGACCGACTGTTTGCAACCCCGTGGACTGCAGCCCACCAGGCTCCTCCGTCCATGGGATTTTCTGGGCAAGAGTACTGGAGTGGAGTGCCATTGCCTTCTCCCATGTTTAGTTGCTAAGTTGTGTCAAACTCTCTGTGACCCCATGGACTATAGCTTTCCAGGCTCCTCTGTCCATGGGATTTCCCAAGCAAGAACACTGGAGTAGGTTGCCATTTTCTTCTCCAGGGGATCTTCCCAACCCAGGTATCAAACCCACATCTCCTGCATTGCAGGCAGATTTTTTACCACTGAGCCACCAAGGAAACCCTTATACACTGCTGATCAGAACATAAATAGGTACAGCCAGTTTGTAAAATATTTAGCAGTAATTATTAAAACTGAAAATATGCATAGTCTGACATAGGAATTCCACTTCAAGGTGTTATTCCACAGAAAAGCATACATATATGCACCAAAAGACAGTATTAACAGTGTTATTCATAATAACCGCAAATGGGAAACACCCTACATATTAATTATCAATAGAATGGATACATAAATTATAGTATAATTTTATTATAAAATACAATAATACATTGAAAAATCAATGAAACTACTCCTGCATGCAAGCATATGTTTAAATTCCAATAAAAGTAACAAGTCATTGGACACAAGATAGTCCATACTGTGTATCCCATTTATATAAAGTTCAAATATACATATACTGGTCAGGTGATAGAATTCAGCATGATGGTAGTGTGAGGGGTTGTGGTTACTAGAAGAGGACATGCTGCGGGCTCTGATTTAATGTTTTTTTCGCTTTGTTTTTTTGACCCAGCCAGGCTTGTAGGATCTCAGTTCCCCAACCAGAGACCGGACCCAGGCCACTGTAGTAAAAACCCAGAATCCTAACCACTAGACCACCAGGGAACTCCCCTGTTAATATTCTTCCAATTCTTGTGTGGATAGTGATTACACAAGTGTGTTCACTTCTGAAAACTGAGCACTTTTCTGTGCTCAAGTATATGTACTGTTTAAAACTTTTTTTTTACTTCACTAAAATTTTTATTTAAAAAAAAGATTATATCGAACTAGAAGAAGTATAAGCTATCTATAATATATTGGATTTAGATATTTTTTCTTGGAGAAAACAAAAACATTAGTTGATCAGAAGGCATGTTCCCTAGTTAGATTCTTATTATTAGGACTGTTTTTAAAAAAAATAATTTTATGTATTTATTTATTGACTGTGCTGGGTCTCTGTTGCTGCCAAGGTTTTTCTCTAGCTGGGACGAACGAGGGCCGCTCTCCAGTTGGGATGCGTGAGCTCTCAGAAGTTGTGGTTCCCAGGCTCTGGAGCACGGGCTCAGTAGTCGTGGCGTGTAGGCTTAATTACTCCATGGCAGGTGGGGTGTTTCCAGACCAGGGTTCGAACCCTTGTTTCCTGCACTGGCAGGTAGATTCTTTAGCCACCAGGGAAACCTAGTTGTTGCTCCGTTGCTAAGTCATGTCCAACTCTTTGAGACTCTATGGAAGACCAGTGCCATTTCTATTATCTGAAATTTGAAACTCTTGCCTGAGACTTCAGTGCTTTAAATTAAAGATAGTGTGTTCCACAGATACAGAAAACTTGTGATTACCAAAGGGGAGAGGGAAAGGAGGAGGGGCAAATTAGAGATATAACAGAATTAACAGATATAAACTATATGAAATAGATAGGCAACAAAATTATCCTGTATAGCACAAGGAATTATACCCGTCATCTTGTAACAACCTATAATGGAGTATAATCTACAAAAGTACTAAGTCACTAAAATATAGGCCTGAAACTAACACAATATTATAGACTAACTATACTTAAATAAAAATAAATAACAGCCAAAAACCCAAAATAAAAGTAATAGCCACAAAAGAAGTGAGAGGGTGATCTCAACTTGCTGTGTTATACTTTTGTTGCTTTTTTTAAAAATTAAGTTAAATTCCTCCCCAGAAAAGTAGTATGTTCTACATTGATATTGAATCCAATTGGGATATATACTTAGATAAAAAGAATTAAGATCTAAGATGATTTTTTTCCATATCTTACTTGTTTTTTCTCAATAACCTACCAAAAAAATCAAAAGTCTTTCTTGTTTCACACTTTCATTTCATAAATTTTTTCTTGTTTAAGTCTCTTTAAATAGAATTTAAAGATTTGAAAGTCTGTCTAGCACTGGTGCCCATTAGAAACAATGTTTGAGTTCTCAGAACTCTAACATCCCATAATTGTATTGGCTTTATTTTAAGTTGTAATTATTTGGTCTTCATAGTCTTGTTTTAATCTCATTTTTAATATATCTACTCCAGAAAATTAGATGATGATGAGCTAAGCAGCTATTTTAGTTCTGTACTAGTTAGTGTAGCTTGCAAAGAAATGGAGTCTCAATAAAACCCAGCTGACTTTGGAGGTTGAAAACATGGCACTGCTACTTTAAAATTCTAGAAGGAATCTTCTTATAACAAGAAGATTCTTGTTTTAACAAGTAGAGTCGTTTTCCTCTTAACAAGTAAATGACTTTAGGCTTATAATTTTCATATGTCTTTCTTAGACATCAGTTGTTAAAAGACACCTGCTGAAGGAATATATAAACCAGAAGAAAATAAATGATTTCCATAGCATTGTGTATTTAAAAAAAACAAAAATGGGGGTGGGGGTGGGAAAATGAGTCATGTGACCCAATTATCCATTTTCAAATATATGTTAGGACTTTGTTCTGTTTTTTATTTCTTTATTTTGTGTTGTAAAACTATTCCTACACATTTCCTTGGCCATTTTGAAGGTGTGAATGTTAGGTGAAATGTCAAATAGGGAGAACTGTAAAAGAAGAAAAACAAATGCCAGGTTTAACCAGAGTTCCGTGCTGTTTTATCAATTCCTTTACTGAGTAGCTTCTGCAAATTGTTACCAGTTGTGACTTTACACTGATCTCTCTTGGACAAGGCAGAAAAATATTTTATTTCCAGAGAAACTTTGGATACCTTTGCAATCAACTTCCTCCTTAAATCTGTATCCTATAATGCGTTTAAAATATGCAGCCAGGCTCCCCTGGTGGCTCAGTGGTGAAGAGTCCACCTGCTAGTGTAGGGGACGCAGGTTCAATCCCTGGTCCAGGAGGACCCCACATGCCATGGAGCAGCTAGTCCCAGGTGCCACAACCATTGAGCCTGTGCTGTGGAGCCCAGGAGCTGGGACTGCTTCCACCCGCAAGCCCTGGAGCCTGTGCTTCAGCAGGGAGGCCACTGCAGTGAGATGCCCAGGCGCCCCAGTTGGAGAGTGGCTCCCACTTGCAGTGAGGACCCGGCGCAGCTGAAACTAAATAAAATTAAAAAGAATATTTCTTTAAAAAAATAGATAAAATATACAAGCAGATATTTGTTTTCAATGACACTATTAAAACTTATGGTATTGATTTTTCTTTGTAAATACCAAATTTTCATATCAGAGAGACTTGGTGATTTATGTTTAAATCCTGGTCACTGATAGAGAAATGATAAATCATATGTAATTATCATATTTAATGAGCTCTTTTGAATACACAGCTTCCTTGAGAGTCATTCCATCCTCACTTCA